ACCACGGATATTGAAACCCGGTTTCTAGCGTTGTAAGTCCCCAGACATTCCGCTGTGCCACTGGGGGGGGGCACACTTTAGAGCTATTTGATTAGAGTAGTCCAAGAGTTGGCTGTGGGTGCTGTTGACTAGCTGCCTTCCCTCTAGTCTATCAATTCAGAATTAGGGACGACTAGCGCAGAAAGCTCTGGTGCGTAAAATCCAAGAAAACAAACTAATGCAAATTCATGTCATCTGATATAACAGTGTTGCCCTAGCACATGAAGTGTGTTACAATACTTTGGTTAGAGAGTGGCTTAACACACATAAAAAATATAACATTTTACCCAACGTATTGGCAGTAATACTGCTATATGTTGGCTCGTTAGGTTTCCACAAGCATAGTATTAGGCTTAACTCACTTCGCAAGATTTGACTGTATACATATATATATATATAAATTCAGACCTTGTCTTCTAGTAATCTTCAAACGCCCTAACCCTTATCTTTTCCGCTTTTTTTAACTTCGTCGTCAATTTTTCTAAAGTTAGCAAAACATAGCCAGACAAGTAGAATTTGCAAGCCCACTCGCATTTCCGTATGTATGATGGACGCTTTTGTAACTGTTATCTTTTACCTGTATCACGATAAGAACTTTCTTTAAGATCGCAATACACGAAATGAACCCACGTTAAATATCTAAGAATTTTGGCAATTTTCTTTATCGAGACATTGATGTCCTCGACTATTTCACTTTATCAATTGAAAGTTATCTGCATTGCGTCACTGTCATGTATTGCATATTGCTAAGTTGCTTTAAAGCTATTTTGATAAATGTTCACACACTTAAGCCACACATATATACTAACTAACACACCACTTTAGTGAGAATTTAATAACGCTAGCGACGGCTTTGACAATGCACAGCGAAGGGACACAACTTAGAATAAATGATTTTTAAACCAGTCACAAGAAGGCCGTTGCTTTTATCTAATCAAACTTCTTAATCGCTCATGAACAAACAAATTAGTTCCTGGTACTGCTTTCTATAGGGCTAACAATGCAGTTAGAAAATTGATAAAACAATTAAAGATCACATAAACGTCTACTTCGATAGTTACATTTGTTATGTTTAGACATAAATATAAAGCTTTTTTAGCAAAATAACCATTCTTCTGTATTTACTTGTAATCAAGACAGAAATTTCACAGTTATTTGTAAGCCTAGACTACTAGCTCGTAAAATAAGAATAACAACTTGTTCATTTTAACCATGTCGTAATATTTCTATGTTTTATTATAATTAAATTGAGGAAAAGACTTTTACTAAATTATAAAATTTTAAAATCTTTGTAACTCCGTTAGTTTAATACTGTTTCTATTATCAGGCTGAGGCCCGGCATAGCCAGGTGGTTAGAGCGATCGACTCGCAATCTGAGGGTCACGGGTTTGAATCCCCGTCACACCAAACATGCTCACCCTTTCAGCCGTGGGGGCGTTACAATGTGACGGTCAATCCCACTATTCGTTGGTAAAAGAGTAGCCCAAGAGTTGGCGGTGGGTGGTGATGACTAGCTGCCTTCGCGCAAAGCTACACGAGGGCTATCTGCGCTAGCCATCCCTAATTTAGCAGTGTAAGACTAGAGGGAAAATTCAAAACAAACAAACAATTATCAGGCTGCTCTTAGTAAATTTATCAGTTTTATAGTAATGGTCTTTCTACACCAGGGTGTGAAATTATATGACCATATAGAAGCGAGGAAGAATACAAAACAACAAAGATTAGACTGCCATGATAGATTTAGATGTTGTCATGGTAGATTTTGGTGTTTTCATAAATATAATAATTTTGTGTTTTCACAGTAGGTTTGAATAATGTCATACAATATTTTTTTGTGGTAGATTTTGGTGTTGTCATAGTAGGTTTGTTGTTGTCACAGTAGGTTTGGATAATGTCATGGTATATCTTTTGCTTCCACGATAGGTTTTAGTATTGTCATGGTAAATTTTTTGTTGTCACGGTAGTTTTTGATGTTGTAATGGTAGAGTTTTGTGTTGTCACGATAAGTTTTTATTATTTCATGGTAGATTATGATGTTGTTACGGTAGATTTTGATCAATGTTGTCAGGGTACATTTTGGTGTTATCACAGTAGGGAGCTCCCCAGTGGCACAGTGGATGTCTGCAGACTTAAAGTGCTAGAATCAGGGTTTTGATACCCGTGGTGGGCAGAGCAAATATAGCCTTTTGTGTAGCTTTGTGCTTAATAAAATAACAAACAACAACAGCAGCATCATAGTAGGTTTTGATGATGTCATGGTAGAATTTATTTCGCTATTTTAGGGTTAAGGGTTTCATGATAAATTTTGTGTTGTAACGGTAGGTTTTGGAAATGGCAAGATATATTTTGTGTTATCATGGTAGGTTTGTGTTGTGATAATAGGTTTGATGTTGGTACGTTAGGTTTTATGTTGTTATGGTATATTTTGTGTTGCCAAGGTAAGTTCGATTTTATGGTAGATATCGTGTTTTTATAGCAGGTTTTGTATCTGCAAAGCTGGTTTTGGTGTTTCTGTAGTAGGTTTTGTGTTGTCTTAGCAGGTTGTGTTGTTATGATAGGTTTTAATTTTATCGTAATAGGTTTGATATTTTCGCGGTATGTTTGATGTTAGTAAAGTAGATTTTCTATTCTCATGGTAAATTTTGTGTTGTCATTTTAGGTTTTACAGTTGTCACGGTAGTTGCGTTGTGACAGGTTTTGATGTTAGTAAAGTATGTTTCGTGTTCTCATGCTAGGTTCCGTTTTGCCATTTTAGATTTTACAGTTGTCACGGTAGGTTGCGTTGTGACAGGTTTTGATGTTAGTAAAGTAGATTTTCTATTCTCATGGTAAATTTTGTGTTGTCATTTTAGGTTTTACAGTTGTCACGGTAGGTTGCGTTGTGACAGGTTTTGATGTTAGTAAAGTAGATTTTCTGTTCTCGTGGTAAATTTTGTGTTGTCATTTTAGGTTTTACAGTTGTCACGGTAGGTTGCGTTGTGACAGGTTTTGATGTTAGTAAAGTATGTTTCGTGTTCTCATGCTAGGTTCCGTTTTGCCATTTTAGGTTTTGTTGCTATTACAGTAAGTTTTGTGTTGTCATAGTAGGATGTGTTGACATTAGAGATTTTAATATTCTTCTGATAAATTTTGTGTTGTCAAAATATGTTTTGGTATTGTCACAGTGGGATTTGTTTTATCATGGTAGTTTTTTATTGCAAAGCTACTAAAGATATCTGCCTCCATCCCTAATTTTGAACTATTGACCTGAAGGAAGGCACAGCCAGTCAGCAGCACACTACCACTTACTATCTTCGCTAAAGAAACTCACTGTCGCTCTTGTAACGCGTTCGTTACTTAAAGTACTAGAAATATTTTTGGTTTGCACGGATTCGAACACGGTTTACCAACTTTAAATTTCCAAGCTCTTACAGAGGGCCAAACCGCGCCCGATCTAAAACGAGGTTACGCTTTCGGAAAACAAAGATTTCAAGACTAAATTCGTTGAGTATATATATGCAAACAAATTATGACCTAGAGATATATCTGTTATGTTGTGAAAAAACAAGCACAATTTTTAGACTTGTACAAGTGTCAACAGACTGCTAGAATTCTCTCATGCTAGATATATATAAGAAAGATATTTTTATTACACCTCACGGTCCTACATACCATTTCTGCAGTATCTGAGAAACTAGATTTCCCTGCTAAGCCTAATTTGGAATCCTGCAAGTGAGCTTAGTACCCAACATTTAATCTCTAACCATCGCACGTGTCACTTGTTGTTTATAAACATAATAGCGCCATCTCGTCCAACCTGTACTTCAACCTTACTTCAACATCTAAATTATCTCTGTAAAACACGCATTGCTTCCGTTTTTGTTTGTAATCGTATGAGTCCAATTTGTGCAATGAAAGAGGTACGGCAAGTACAAATCTAACGAGATCCAGTTATACACATGCTCAGAGTCCGCGACACTAGTATTGATAAAAAAAGACCCTGATAATATTAGTAGTGTTGTAACAATCAACTTTTATACATATGAACTCTCATGATTAATTCGTTTAGGTTCCGAGTTTCTTATAACGTTCATTCAATAAGCACTCCTTTGTGTCCACAGGACTTGTCTTGCATAATTGGTTAACTTTTCAACAATTATTTGATTAATTTCTCAATCTCAGATATAGGGCTTGGTGCAAATGATAACATAATTTATGAGAGTTAAGCCACGTTAACACAAATATAATCTCTATATTTTTTTAACTCCGAACGTTTCGTTTGTTTTATTGGATTAAAGCATGTTTGGCTTTCCAAACGGTCACTCCCCTTTCCTCCCATTATCTACCTAATAAGCAACTAAGTTATAAAAGGAAATAGTGAAGTAGGATAAGTACCACAATGTATCGAGAAATGAAACACATCTAGTCTGATAAAGACTGCTTTTTTTTTTTTCATAGTAAGCTGGTAATTTGTTCACTCACTGTACTAGAAATAAGATACAAGTACAGGAAATACATTTAACTCGACTTTACTACTTCCTATTGTAATGGAAACATCACGTTTCTTTAGTAACACTGGGGCGAAGATGGCTGGAAAATGAACTTCTCCCCGTTAAAGCAAACGTTTTCTATGGAGCTGTTGGTATAGTTTAACAGTAAACTATTTTTTGATCTCATCGGATCGACAAAGGATCGGAAAACACACCTTGGAACTTTGTACCTATACCGATGTATTATTTAGTCCTCTTGTTTGGACCAGTTCTTTTGAAAAATATGAGAGCTCCAGCAGCTGCAGGGAAGGCCCCCGGGTTCTAGGCTGTCAACTAAGTTTAACCTTGGTCAAACCTATCTCAAATTCGTGATCTGTAGGGGTTGTTTTATCACCGATCTCACAATCTCTTCTACTTAGTGCCCTTAAGTATAAAAAACTCCTAACAGAAAGCATAATCTGCCAAGGTAAACTATCCATTTGTAGAAAACTGTAGGAGCTAGTGAGATAACTAATACCAAATCTAAGCCTCAGGCTAACCAGAAACAGTTTTTTTAACCAAATAACATTATCAAAAACGAATGTATACATGACGAATGTGATTACACCACTATAAGGCTGAGATACGACTTGCTTTGTATTCAAGTCCTCTGTCAGTGAACATTTTAATACCGACCGGTCAAGCATGGAGTTCTTCGTCTTAACTGTGAGTAAACGTTTCTAGTTTTTCTGTATCTAAACTTTGTTATTGTGAATGATATTTCATAGTTTTTGTTATTGTTGCTAAATATTCCAGAAAGAATATCTACTACCATACTGATAGAACTTTCTTGGCTTCGTAATAACGGGCTTTCCTTTCCTTTTCTTTTCTTTTCTAGTGCCTTGTAAGAGGAAATATGTTTAAGGGCTCGATTCTATTCGAGCCCCCAGTGGCACAGCGGTATGTTAATGGACTTACAACGCTTGAAACCGGGTTTCGATACCTTGTGGTGGGCAAAGCACGGATAGTCCATTGAATACCTTTGTACTTAACTACAAACCAACAAACTATTTGTTACTTTAAGCACGGTCTGGTTAACGTTTTCTGCTTTTGCTTAATTTACAGATACCACTGAAGAGTGACATTCTCCGAATCTGTACTAAACAAGAGGATTGTTTGTTTTTAATTATGCACAAAGCTACACAAGGGATATCTATGCTCTGCCCACCACGGGTATCGAAACCCGGTTTCTAGCTTTGTAAGTTCGCAGACATACCGCTGTGCCACTGAGGGGCAAACAGAGGAAAGTTTGTAACAAGAACTGTTAACTTCTACCGAAACTAACTTGTTATAAATAGCTTGACGCTGCTAAGATTAAAACATGTGTATCTATATGATGTGATAACTCTCTAGATGAAATAATGTGTGAAAATGTATGATGATTTTGATTTTATTTATTTATTTATTTTTATATAATAGACGGAACTCTCTTTTTTTAATTACACTGTCTTGATTTCACACAGTTAACTCATGTGAATATTTATGGAGATGAGTATACACCTTTTTTTAATTACACTGTCTTGATTTCACACAGTTAACTCATGTGAATATTTATGGAGATGAGTATACAGGGAGTATATACTCCCCCCCCCCATGAAATATGGAAACAAATACTCCAACATCGGAGACTCAAGTTAAATGGTTTGGATCTACAACTTACATACATGTGGGCTATGGCCAATCAAACTACCATAGAATTCAATGGCTATACTGCTCAATTAAATTAACTTTTATAATTAAGTCTAAAGTATATCTCTATAACCTAATTTTTTGTTTAGTTTTTTTACCAGTTAGCCTCACCTTTGCGTGATCTAATGGTTAGCATGTCTGGCTACATATCGAAGAATCCAAGGCTCGGGACGCAATGCTACTGAATACACTTTGCATTTTCAGCTAGGGGCGAGTTATAAAAGTGACAGTCTATCCTGTTATTCTGTGCAAATAGCCAGACAAAGCTTTTGTGGCGATGAGTGCTTCCGGTTAGCTACCCTTCATGAGCAGTAGTTCATAATTAGGGACAGATATATTTGACAAGGCTGCGGTTGATGTTTTAGTTTTGTTTATTTGTTGTTAAGCACACAGTTACACAGTGCTCACTGCGAGTATCAAAATCCGGTTTTTGGCGCTATGAGCCCTCAAACTTTCCGCTGAGCCACTGGGTGAGGGGAAGGGTTTACTGAACGTTCGCTAAACGCTTCAGAACTAGTAAGGAAAGCAAACCGAGAACTGAAACACAAAGTAGCGCGAGTAGAACTACATGGTTAATGGTTAAAACATAATGTCGGGAGATGAGATGCAGAGCTCAGGCCTCACTCTAATTTAATTTCACAGAAGTCCCCCGGTGGGATAGCGTCAAGTCTTCGGATTTACAATGTTAAAATCAGGGGTTCGATTCCCCTCAGTGGACACAGCAGATAGCCCGATGCGGTTTTGCTATAAGAAAACACATACACACACATTTCAAAAAACAACATCTATGAACATAGTTTTTCGGAATGATTGAGACGTGGTGTTGGTATTATTAACGGTATAATTATTCGGAATATTATTCTCGTCTTTATTAAGTGTATTATTATTTTCACAGATGTGGAAATGTTTTCGTGACTTTTAAGTGAATACCTAATACACTTTTACGTACGAATATATAAAGTAAGCGAAGATAGTGGAATTCTGAACACGAAGGTTTCGAGTACACACCTGCTGTGAGGTTTGTAATATTCTTAAAACAGTGGCTTGTGGTAAATCATAGAGTGATTATCACGTGTAAATTACTTACTATATGTAATGGGGAACCTTTTCTTGGACCCTGACCCACTTTTGGGTCAGTGCGTGACGGACACAAGGTTGAAGAGATACATAGGTTGTAAGTATTCCCCACAGATGTTATTATTTTGGGTGAACAGAAGCGTGACGGCGGAAATCGGTTGCAAGGCGTAGTCACGTGATAGGTATGATGCGGAATAATGAATGAGGTCATTTGTAAAGGTTTCATGAAAAATAACATCAGCTAAAACTCGTATTAAATATACATTTATTTGTAGTGACTGATTACATTGTGTTAAAGCACACCTACACGTGCATACTGACACTCACATATTAAAACTTTTCCTCAGTAACTATTTTATTATTAACTGAAGACCTGTCGTTAGCAGATTAACCTTTTGTGTCAAGTTTTCTACTAGGTTTAAAACTGTGACCTGTTTACAGTTACTGAAACATCCTTCTTTTTTTAGGTGAATCAATAGTTAAGCCTAACTCTAATCGTTTGAAAAATGTAACTTAAGGGCTAGCTGTGGTAGATGTTCTAATTTAGAAGAAAATACATCTAGTCAACACTACCAACCGCCAACTCTTGGGCTATCCTTTACCAACGAAAAGTGTGATTGACCGTCAAGTTAAAACACCCCCACTGCTTAATGGGGTAGCATGTTCGGTGACCAGATTCAAATCCACAACTCGCATGTTAGGAGTCGAACGCCCTAACCACCAGCCCTTGCTAGGCCTATAGTTTAAGCTCCGTAACAACAACTTTTTTTTTTAATTTAAACAAACTTACACGTATAATCCTTTTATAGCTGGTGGAGTAATGTATTGAAACAACGTTTTAACGACTTTTTTTTTACCAACATTGAACTACGTTTGACTCAAATATTTTTGCTAGAAATTGATTAATATTGAATTTGAGTGCGAGAAAAGCATAAACAGTATCAAATTTGCGCCTCCGCTTACTTCACCAACCCAAAGAAACTTCGTAACATTCAGCCCAAGTGGTTTCGCTTTCATTTTAAAGTAACATATTCTGTATTTTATTCTGTGCCTGTTTAGTCAACGAGCGTGTCTTGACATACATAGATATATATACTTATCACCATTCTGATATAAACACGATACCTGACTTGACGAGCCTGGATAAGCACCATTTCCTGCTGTCTCTGTGAATGTTATTATAATTATTTTTATACTTTCTTGAAGTTGAATCGTTTACTCACAATACGTCACTGACCAAGATTCCTTTCTTTTTTCTTCTGTATCCCACTCCCTCCACATATATAATTTCAACATGACCACAAAATCTTGTCAGGACAGTTTTGGGCAGCAGGAACTTTATCTTTTTCAACCGTTTCGTTGTCGTGATAAATGAATGCATAGTGGTAATCATGAATCGTTACTTCTGTCTCGTCGATTTTAGCCATTTTTCTCTATCCCCCTCCCACATATATACATACTTGATATAAAGCACGCTGTTCTCTCTCTCTGGATAGACTACATAACCATAAGAACTGATTCAAAGTGTCACTAAGCTTTTGTACAATACTGCAAATCCTGCTGTGTGATTGTTAGATATATATATATATATATATATATGTATGGCGGTTAACCACAAAAAATCTTCTGTAGAAATCCAACCAATTCTTTCTCCAGCGTTTTTTGGACGTCTAAATACAGAATAGAAGCTTATAAATAACTTTACAACTGCTTTGAGAGTTTTGACATCTGACGTTGACCATTATGACAGAATGGCAGGTTTATACCCTGTTTCTGTGAGATAAGAGGCGGTGTGAAACGGTATTTATCCGAAAACGACCCGATATCTTCATTGAAGGTGTCCGTAAAATAGGCAGATGTCAGTTTTCTTCTCTTACACTGTGCTTGCTAGCGAGCGTAGAAATGATTTACTGCTTATTGCACAGCTCCGTAGACTTAAGTGTTAACACTACCAAACAATGTATACGGAAACTCAAAAGGGCCATACAACTGAATGAAGAACCGCCAAGCGTGCAAGGAATTCATTACATGGGGAGTTGACTGTTTTACTTTGAATGACTTCTTATCTTTAGACAGCATGAAGTTTATAAATTCCAGCAAACCCTATGGCCATGTGAGATATCGATAAAGTTATTCGTGATATGACTTAAATATCATAAATACAGAAAACCCAACAACAACAGATATTTCGCATACTTTTATTTTATCTTTAAACTCTGTGCATTAGGCAAGTTTCAATCTAGTATTAGAAACCTTTACTATACTCGTAAAAAAGCGACGGCTTAGAAAGTTGTAATGTTGACGCTCGCTTTCGTTTTGAATGGTTTTATTTTCCCACGTGCGCGGGTATACAGGAAGAGTTGCAAATGGAGGAGACTTTTCAGAAAAGCTCCTTGGAGTAGGATAAACATTTTTTGCTTGTTTCTAAATGTATTGGGGTTTATATCCAAGAAAGTTTTCCAATATCTAATATAACGTTTTTTAAATGTTGTATGCTTTATATTCTTATATAGAAGCATTTAATTTCTAGCTTGATATAAATGATAAATGAGGAAATAAAACGATTATTACAATACTTTTTATCGAAGTTCTAAAGCAACTACTTTCGACAGGATAGTTTAATAAGTTAGTTTGAAGTAATAAATTTTCCCTCCTTTTCCGTATCGGACTTTGGAACAGTAATGCTAACCCTAAACCGTACATCACAACGTTACACGTCATAATTGAACGACAGCACCCTTACGTACCAATTATTTGTTTGTTTGTTTGAAATTAAGCACAAAGCAACACAATGGGCTATCTGTGCTCTGCCTACCACGGGTATCGAAACCTGGTTTCTAGCTTTGTAAGTCTGCAGACATACCGCTGTGCCACTGAGGGATACGTACCAATGAGATATT